ACTAGCGTGGAGGCCATCGCTACTAGGGTGGAGGCCATCGCTACTAGCGTGGAGGCCATCGCTGCAAGGGTGGAGGCCATCGCTCTTAGGTTGGAGGCCATCGCTACTAGGGGGAGGAGGCCATCCCTCTTAGGTTGGAGGCCATCGCTACTAGGGGGACGAGGCCATCCCTCTTAGGTTGGAGGTCATAGCTCTTAGGTTGGAGTACATGCTATACCTTTCTCCCTTCTGATCTGGGAGGAGCCCCCTGGTCTTCTAGCAAGGCGCCTCGCGTCTCGTTGTTTGTGGCCACCGGTTGTTGCCGTGCCCGCCTTTGAAGCCAAGCCTCCAGCTTTGCCTCAGCTTGGACAACTGCGGGGTCTTCCGCGCACCCGGTCCAAATTCAGCCCTAAGAACTGCCCGAATCCATCGTCCTTTCATTCTATTGCCATCTCTGAAAGTAAATTAACAACCACGGCCCCTTCTACGAAACTTTAGGGTGAGACAGCACAGCAAAAGGGATTGGTGTTGAATCATGGTTCGGAGATAGAGCAAGCAGTTCCACGTTCATTTCTGTACCATATGCAGCCATTTATACAGCCTATGCATGTGTGTATTCACAAAATGCCTGTGAGAACAATTCGGATACATGATGCATGACGTGCTTCCTTGATGGGAAGTCCAATAGAAAGAAAAGCAAACATGAAAGGGAGAGCAAAAAAGCGATCAAATCCAGGCAACAAATAGCATGAAATAGCTACTCCACAAGCACGCCTAGCTCCATAACATTCCATAACCACACAAAAAGCGCTTTGACAAAGAAGGGTATCTGGGGGATCAACCAAGAATGCCATGGTCTTTCACCAAAATGTTTGGAGACAGAAGCTTAGCGGCCGCTTCGCGGCCCCATCGCTAAAGGGCGGGTCCCAAGTAACTTAGTACCAAAAAAGGTCGAAAGCTGAGCAAGCTGCGCTGGTTGCGTCAATGGACTGGACAATATCAGCAATGGCCTCCTTCTGACGGTTCAACTCCTTGTCGCCACTGGTGTCTGCATGCGACTCTGCGTGACCTGCGGCGTGCTTTTCGCGTGGTGAAACGGGTGACGACGTATCGATCACCATTTGGAGCAACGACTCACCAATCACTACGGACGCTCTTTGGGCAGCCCGATCACTGGCAGCAAGCGCTTCTTCGAAGGTGTCACTGGCTCGGCGATAGATCTTGGCAATGCCTTCATCGACCACAGCAGAGCCAGCTAGAAGAGACCTCCGAACAGCATCCATGGCACTAGGCCCCAAAGACACTGAAGAAGCAAGACCTGGCATTGTGGGCATGATCGACATATTGGCGGACGTCTGATGTCGGAGGGTCTCCTCCCTGGCAGCAATAGCTCGTCCCTTCTTGCCCCTAAAGCACGCCTGAATCTTTGTCGCAGCCTCGTAGTCTGATAAACCTTGACGAACTTCTTCGGTATCCAAGAAACTCTTGTCAACTTGGATGTGCTCTTTGGTGGCTGTGTCAGCTTGGTGAAAGTTGTGCACTTGAACTCTCAGCACAGCAACTGAAGCTATCTTCATGCGGGCTTTCTTCAATTTTGTCCAACCAGACCAGCTTTTTTGGATTTTCCTCGCCGCCCATCGTTCTTCTTTGAGTCGCTGTCTGACGCGATTCCCACGAAAAGCGGCCTGGAGTCTGACTGCTGCTTGGGATGTGGCTTCGTGGTTTGATGGTAGGAGCATGGCATTGTCTTCGAGAAACGAACCCCTCACTTGAAATTTGGATGCCTTGTGAGTCCTCACAGCCTTGATGCGCAGCATTCCAACCTGCCCAATCGATAAAGCTGAAGAGTGTCCTTGATGTCCCTTTCGAACCTGCCAGCCTCGGTAGAGTGCCTGCATTCGAACAACAGCGTCTTCAGATTGGGAACTTGCCAAGTTCGGTGTGTCTCCCTGAGAGTCAAAGGACTTCGGGATTTTTTGGATTCCTTTCCTCGCCAACCTGCCACGGTGAAAAGCTTGTATCTTGACAGCGGCTGCCAGTGTGGGGCTGGCTGAGGATTTTTCATGCTCACCGGCCGGAGGAAACTGCTTGGCAGTCTGCTCTACGGCGTGTTCGTGGCTGACCATGTTCCCGGTGTTGTTGAGTTCTGGCACCTCCACTTTGGCGTATACCACCGCATTGGACGATTCCTTCACAGGGGGAAGAAAACAACGAGACCTACAGTGAATAGACTTGATATACTGTTCCTACATCCTACTCAGTCCTACTCGTCCAACTCCCTTCCCCGCAAAATCCACACTTTAAAGGAGCTGAGTCAACGTGTTTAGCTGAAAAGGCTCCTTGGCTCTTGCATCTCGGGCCCTCTTCCCCCTGTACAATGCCTGTAATCGAATTGCAGCACGTGTCAAGGTCAAATCGCTGAGATCTGTGAGATCTTTTGCTTCTTTGGGAGATTCGGCCAGCTGCATCTCTGTGCGCACCACACTGGACTCGCTCTTAGGTTGGAGGTGTGGAGTCTCCATTGCCTCCAGGCCTTGCTGGGCCTCTTGGGAGGTTTGCCATGGTTGGAGGCCATCGCTCTTAAGTTGGAGGTGTGGAGCCTCCATTGCCTCCAGGCTTTGCTGGGCCTCTTGGGAGGTTTGCCACGGTTGGAGGCCATCGGTCTTAGGTTGGAGGTGTGGAGCCTCCATTGCCCCCAGGCCTTGCTGGGCCTCTTGGGAGGTTTGCCATGGTTGGAGGCCATCGCTCTTAGGTTGGAGGTGTGGAGCCTCCATTGCCTCCAGGCCTTGCTGGGCCTCTTGGGAGGTTTGCCACGGTTGGAGGCCA